GTTTTAAAAAAATTTTCTTGACTTATAGTATTAGTGCTTTGATCATTCAGAATTAGGGTTTCTATAAATTTAACAACAACTTGATTATATTTATTAAGCTTTTCATATGAACTATATTTTATAATACTCTCTACAGAAAATTTAGACTTATTTCAAACTAGTAATGTTATATCATCAAATACTGATATATGTTCTGCTTTTGATATTTTAATTATTGCATTAATACATTTTTGTTGAGTAGCAAATCTTGAATTTCACTGCTCAATAAGAACTTTGTTATCTTTATACAGCTCATTATACAAATTCTGAATAACAATCATATTATTATGAGCTTTTTGTAATTAAATTTTCAATTCTTCTATCATATTTTTCTGATTTTCTATATATTGTTGCATCTGTTTAATTTGATTATTAAGATTTATTACTAATTGAGACTTTTTTTCTAAAAGCTGTCTAGCTTCATTAAGCTCAATTGTTAAATCTACAGAAACAACCAAATTATCCTCTTCAAGTCAAGTTTTTTTGTTTTCTTGGGTAGAACCTACAAGATGCTCATAAAATTGGTTGGTTAAAAGAATTTGTGTATAATATGATAAACAAAGAGAAAAAGATTCTAAAGATAAACTAGCAAATTCAGGAATATAATTATAATAATATGCAAATTTTCTAGCTACTGAAAGACTATTTGTATCTTGCCATCTTTGTAACTCATTTGTTCTACAAGATCTTGATTCAAATTCTTTATATGTCTTAACTAAGCCTTCAAATAAACATTTTAGAATATTCACTATTTCTTCTTGCTGATTAGATACTAAATAAAAATTGGTTTAAAACATTTTTAGTAATTAAATTAAATATTTGAAAAATTTACAGATAAAGGTCCAAAAAACAAAAATAATTACAAATAAGGTTTAAAATGAAAATAATTACAGATAGAGGTTCAATATTTGAAAATTAATTACAAATAAGAGTTCAAAATAATTAGAATCTATGATTTAAACCCTATTTTAATAATTTTTTTTTTTTTTTTTTTTAATATTAAAGGTGAGGCCATGCCTCTATCTTTATTAAAACTCAGTTAAACTTTTT